AGTTGAGTTTTGGAAGAGCTTGAGCCTACAGTGAGGTTGATTGTGGGAGGCCATCTGGGAGTATGTTAGGAAAGTTAAATCTAGAGGTAACAAACGAAAAAGTACCTTTGCCAGTAGGTAGAAACTCAAACCCATCAAGGGCAATGCAATATGATCTAATGTTATCACATCCAGCAGCTTCAATGTTCGCTCTCTCCACCAGGAATAAGCATGGTGGCTCAGTGATTAGCACTGCTGCTTCACAGCGCCAGGGATCTGGGTTTGATTCCACTCTTGGGCAACTGTCTGTGTGGAACAAAACCAAAGTTACTGGAAAAGCTCAGCGGGTCTGGCAGCATCTGTGCAGGGAAAAAACAGAGTTAATGTTTCGGGTCTGTCTGTGTGGAGTTTGCATATGCTACCTGTGCCTGCTTGGGTTTCCTCCTACAACCCAGAGATGTGTAGGTTAGATGGATCAGCCATGCTAAATTGCCCATGGTGTCCAGGGATGTGCTGGATTGGCCAAGGGAAATGGTTACAGGGATACGGTAGGCGGGGGACAGGTCTGGGTGGGATGCTCTTCAGAGGGTTGGGGTAGAATTGATGGGCTGAATGGCCTACTTCCATACTGCAGGGATTCTATGATGATTTGGTGAAACAGTGTGTACCACCTACAGAATGTCCTACAGTAACTCACCAATGCCTCTTTGACAGCATCATTCACACAACCCATGAGTTTTACCACCAATTAGGACAAGGGCACAGAATCACACCAAAGGCACACCACCACTTACAGCTACCCCACCTTTCCAAGTCACACACCATCCTGACTTGGAACATAGGGTGGGAATATAACGATCATGAGCTGGCCAGTATTTATTGCCTGGCCCTAGTACCGCTCAGTAGGCTATTTCAGGTGAAAGTTGAGAGTCAACCACATTGTCATGGGTCTGGAATCACATGCAGGCCAGAACAGGTGGAGATGGCAGATTTCCCTTGAAGATGGGTTTGTACAACAGTTGACAATAGTTTCATGGTCATCTGTAGATGCTTTCTTCTAGATTTTATTTTTATTCAATTTAAATTACACTATCTGCCACGAGATAGTCCCAAGGACATTATGTGAGTTTCTGGATTAGTAATCTATCAATAATACCAATAGGCCATTTCCATTATATATCGCAAGTAACTTGCTGTCATGGGGTCAAAATGCCAAAACACCCTCCTAACAGCACCGTAGGTGTACCTACATGACATGTGCTGCAACATTTCAGGAAGCAGCTAATCATCACCCTCTTAAGGGCAAGTAAAGATGGGCAGTAAATACTGGTCTACGCAGTGAAGACCAGATCCCATGAATGAAGGAAAAAATTAGGGCTTTCTGATACGTGGCATGTTTGTAGAAGCTTGGATAATTCTCTTTTGAACTGAGTAAGTTTAGCAATGATTTGGTCAATATATAAGAGACAACAAGGTGCAGGGCTGGATGAACACAGCAGGCCAAGCAGCATCATAGGAGCAGAGAGGCTGACGTTTCGGGCCTAGACCCTTCATCAGAAAAGGGGGAGGGGAAGGGGGTTTTGAAATAAATAGGGAGAGAGTGGGAGGCGGATAGAAGAGGGATAGAGGAGAGGATAGGTGGAGAGGAAACAAACAGGTCGAAGAGGCGGGGATGGGGCCAGGAAAGGTGAGTGTAGGTAGGGAGTTAGGAAGGGGATAGGTCAGTCCAGGGAGGACGGACAGGTCAAGGGGGCGGGATGAGGTTGGTCGGTAGGAGATGGAGGTGCGGCTTGAGGTGGGAGGAGGGGATAGGTGGGAGGAAGAACAGGTTAGGGAGGCAGGGACGAGTTGGACTGGTTTTGGGATGCGGTGGGGGGAGGGGAGATTTTGAAACTTGTGAAATCCACATTGATACCATTGGGCTGCAGGGTTCCCAAGCGGAATATGAGTTGCTGTTCCTGCAACCTTCGGGTGGCATCGTTGTGGCACTGCAGGAGGCCCAGGATGGACATGTCGTCTGAGGAATGGGAGGGGGAGTTGAAATGGTTCGCGACTGGGAGGTGCAGTTGTTTGTTGCGAACCGAGCGTAGGTGTTCTGCAAAGCGGTCCCCGAGTCTCCGCTTGGTTTCCCCGATGTAGAGGAAGCCACACCGGGTACAGCGGATGCAGTATACCACATTGGCAGATGTGCAGGTGAACATCTGCTTGATGTGGAAAGTCTTCTTGGGGCCTGGGATGGGGGTGAGGGAGGAGGTATGGGGGCAGGTGTAGCACTTCCTGCGGTTGCAGGGAAAAGTGCCGGGTGTGGTGGAGCTGGAGGGGAGTGTGGAGCGGACAAGGGAGTCACGGAGAGAGTTGTCCCTCCGGAAAGCAGATAAAGGTGGGGAGGGAAAGATGTCTTTGGTGGTGGGGTCGGATTGCAGATGGCGGAAGTGTCGGAGGATGATGCGTTGGATCCGGAGGTTGGTGGGGTGGTACGTGAGGACGAGGGGGATTCTTTTTTGGTTTTTATTGCGTGGACGGGGTGTGAGGGATGAGGTGCGGGAGATGTGGGAGACACGGTTGAGGGCGTTCTCGACCACCGAGGAGGGGAAGTTACAACTCTCTCCGTGACTCCCTTGTCCGCTCCACACTCCCCTCCAGCTCCACCACACCCGGCACTTTTCCCTGCAACCGCAGGAAGTGCTACACCTGCCCCCATACCTCCTCCCTCACCCCCATCCCAGGCCCCAAGAAGACTTTCCACATCAAGCAGATGTTCACCTGCACATCTGCCAATGTGGTATACTGCATCCGCTGTACCCGGTGTGGCTTCCTCTACATCGGGGAAACCAAGCGGAGACTCGGGGACCGCTTTGCAGAACACTTACGCTCGGTTCGCAACAAACAACTGCACCTCCCAGTCGCGAACCATTTCAACTCCCCCTCCCATTCCTCAGACGACATGTCCATCCTGGGCCTCCTGCAGTGCCACAACGATGCCACCCGAAGGTTGCAGGAACAGCAACTCATATTCCGCTTGGGAACCCTGCAGCCCAATGGTATCAATGTGGATTTCACAAGTTTCAAAATCTCCCCTCCCCCCACCGCATCCCAAAACCAGTCCAACTCGTCCCTGCCTCCCTAACCTGTTCTTCCTCCCACCTATCCCCTCCTCCCACCCCAAGCCGCACCTCCATCTCCTACCGACCAACCTCATCCCACCCCCTTGACCTGTCCGTCCTCCCTGGACTGACCTATCCCCTTCCTAACTCCCTACCTACACTCACCTTTCCTGGCCCCATCCCCGCCTCTTCGACCTGTTTGTTTCCTCTCCACCTATCCTCTCCTCTGTCCCTCTTCTATCCGCCTCCCACTCTCTCCCTATTTATTTCAAAACCCCCTTCCCCTCCCCCTTTTCTGATGAAGGGTCTAGGCCCGAAACGTCAGCCTCTCTGCTCCTATGATGCTGCTTGGCTTGCTGTGTTCATCCAGCCCTGCACCTTGTTGTCTCGGATTCTCCAGCATCTGCAGTTCCTACTATCTCTGGTCAATATATAAATTTACTTCCAGAAGATTTCACCTGCAGAGGTGGAGAAATTATTTACATCGGCAGAATGTTTGGTAACCACAGAATTCAGCTTTCAGATAATTTATACATAATGTAGGCTAAAGATGTGGAGAATGTTTTACTCAGCGAGTTCAGGGAATCTGGAAAAGACTCAGCTGTCATTCTTGATACTCATTTGGAATGTAACTTAATAAAGAAAGATTTCGAGGGCAAATTACACAAAGAACTGCAGAGGCTCGAGATCTGAAACAAACACATCACTGGAGAAACTTTGCAGGTCTGGCAGCATTTATGATACAAAAACAGCTAAGATTTTGAGTCCGGTGTCCCTTCCTCAGAATGGAAAATAACTTAGAAATGGTGGTATATATGATGATTAATGTGGGGTTGGGCGGGGAAGGAGGCCGATGAATGGAGACAGACCCCAGGGAAAGAGAAAAAGGGACACAGATTTGGAGGGCTCTGGGCATAGGGGAGGGATGTTGGGATAGATTTGCAGCGTTTCTCAAGTGATAGAGTATGGCCCCAATGGGCTGAATGGCCACCAGACCTCAGCTCTGACACTGCACCATTCACTGTGAATGGTGAAGCTCATCCTAGAGCAGAAGTTCAACAGGTCTAGCAACATCTGTGAAGAGAAATCAGAGTTAATATTTCAGGTCCAATGACCCTTCCTCTGAGGAACCTGCTGAGCTTTTGCAGCAATTTCTGATATTTCTTTCCATGAGCAGTTGGGAGAAGGACATCAGAGTGAAATGTGGGTGCTCAAAATCAGAAACAAAAACAGAAATTGCTGGAAAAGCTCAGCTGGTTCCTCAGAGGAAGGGTCATTGGCCCTGAAATGTTAATTCGGATAATCTCCACAGAGCTGCTGAGATTTTCCAGCAATTTCCGTTTTTCTGTCTGACTCACAGCGTCAACATTTCTTTCTGTGCTCATGGGAAGCATACTGATTATCCCATTCTGAGTGACAAATAAATTCCATGAGTTCCCTGCACTTGTTGGAGATGAGGGTGGAGTAGATTGGGGAGATGGACAGCCCATCAAAATATTTGAGTCTGTTTTAGCGATAAAATAAAGACACGATACACAATAGTTTAACAAAAAGCTGATTTATATCACTTTTTTCCCAATTAGGTAACCAGACATGCTTACAAACATCATCAGAAACACGCCCAGAGAACATGGTTTAGATATGGATAACAGTAGCATCAAGAACCAATTCCTCCATTTACTTGGGAACTCATTGGTGGTTAACCAGTCTTAATGCACTAGGAAGTCCCTTTTCATATATGTGTAGGTGGACAGTCTATACTCAGTGTTAATGTGTTGACATACAGTGAAGGTGTAATCATTTCCCAAACCTACCCTACAGGGACACAATTGCTATGAACATTTTACCTGCAATTTCAGCAGCTTTAATTGAGCAGGGATTAATAACAACAGTACAAATGACCCAAAGAGCACAGTTCATTCCTTGGAGTGAGTAAGAGCAAAATCCTTCAACTGTGGTTCTTTGTGAATTTGCTGGTGTGTTAACAGTTTGGATGACCGAGTGAATCGCCTCCCACACAAGGAGCAAATGAATGGTTTCTCCCCAGTATGAACTCGTTGGTGTATCAACAGGGAGGTTGAATCAGCAAAGCCTTTTCCACACACAGAACACATGTATGGTCTCTCTCCGGTGTGAACTCGCTGATGTATCAGCAGGTGAATTGTCTGAGTGAATGCTTTCCCACATTCAGAACAGGTGAATGGTCTCTCTCCAGTATGAACTCGCTGGTGTCTCAGCAGATTTGATGAGTGAGTAAATCCCTTCCCACACTCAGAGCAGGTGAACGGTTTCTCTCCGGTGTGAACTCGCTGGTGTATCAGTAGTTTAGATGAGCGAGTGAATCCTTTCCCACATTCAGAACAGGTGAATGGTCTCTCTGTCGTGTGAACGCGCTGGTGTTCCAGCAGGTAGGATGACTGAGTGAATCCCTTCCCACACACAGAGCAGGTGAATGGTTTCTCTCCAGTGTGAATTCGCTGGTGTCTCAGTAAGCTGGATGACAAAGTGAATCCTTTTCCACACACGGAGCAGGTGAATGGTCTCTCCCCATTGTGAATTCGCTGATGTATTAGCAGACTTGATGACAAAGTGAATCCTTTTCCACATACGGAGCAAGTGAATGGTCGCTCTCCAGTGTGAACTAGCCGGTGTTTCAGCAGGTGAGTTGTCTGAGTGAATCCCATCCCACACACAGAGCAAGCAAATGGTCTCTCTCCAGTGTGAACTCGCCGATGTTTGAGCAGGTTGGATGACAGAGCGAATCCCATCCCACAATCAGAGCAGATGAACGGCTTCTCCCCAGTGTGACTGCGTTGGTGAATTTTCAGCTGGGAAGGGTAAATAAATCCCTTCCCACAATCCCCACATTTACACAATCTCTCCCGAGTGTGACTGCGTTGGCGCTTGGACATTTCAGATGAACCTTCACAGACGATATGTGTTTCTCCCCGGTGTGAACGGTGCTTTCTCCTTCAATGTTCAAATTTCTGAGATAATTAGATTGTGATAAACAGAGTGACTGTCAAATCTGGATGTGGTTTCATTTGAATTCTCTAATTGCACATCAAACTTTCAAGCTGAAAATAACAGTACAGAGAGAGAGACAAAAACCAGAAAAACACACAGGTTGTGAAACTCAGAAAATTAATCTGGTCAATTGTGGAGCTAACACTTGGTGAAACTGCTGGATTATCATGAAAATTGAACTGGTTCCTAAATGCCTTCCGGGATGGGAAGCAGTCATTGTTTGCACAAAACTACAGAAAGAGAGAAAACAAAAGGTTGTCAGAGAGTACCATGGATGTTGCAGCAGCTCCTGTGTTGCAGGTGTTTCTTGTGAATTTCCTCTGGTTTTTATATAGCAAAAGCTTAAAATTATTTTTGTAACTTTTACAGTCGAAATAAAAAGCAAAGGAAAAAATGCGTAGGAGTTTTATTTTAAAAATGTGGAGAGGATTTTTTTCATATGGAGTTTGTGGAAGAGGCCTTTCTATGTGTTTGTCGAATGTTGGAGTCTCTAGAGATTTTGTTTTCTGTTTGAGACTTTCATACTTCAAAAAAACAATGTGAAGAAAATAATTTGTGAAGAAGGAGACACTGTCTCTCACACGGAGGCTGTGGGAGAGAGATTTTTTTCTGTTTTCACAGATGGAACTCTGAAGATTTTCCTTTTCAACTTGTTTGTTGTGACTGTTTAAATAATGACAGGATCGGGGAATGGCATTTCTTTTCTCAGATCCGGAGATTTGAAAGCTGACTGATACAGCACTTTAGGAGAAAGCTTTCTTCAGTTGATGGGGGTTTCATTTAAGTGCTTGATCATTTAAAAAAAAATTAAGTGTCTAACTTGTTTTCTCTTTTGCACACTTAAAGATTAAATTCTGTGGGTAAGGAAGGGCACTTTTTAAAATATATATACAAGGCTCTTGAAAGAGCTTCTTCCTTTCAGGCTTAATGTCACTGAGGACATACAGGAGACACAAAGTGTGACGGTTAGTAGATTCAGAGAGGTGGTGACACAGCAGAATGAATCAGATAGATGGGTGACTGTCAGGAAAGAGAAGAAAGTAGTTCAGAAGTCTTCTGTGGCTATTCCTCCCTCAAACAGATACTCTCTTTGGGTATTGTTGAAGATGGTGTCTCTCAGAGGAAAATAGAAGGGGCAGTCAGATCTGGGACACTAAGAATGAATCTTGTATTAAGCAGGGTTTGTCAAGATATAAAAATATAATTGTTACAGGGGACTCTCCAGTCAGAGGCACAGATAGGAGATTTTGTGGCTGTGAGCGTGAATCCAGGGTAGTACATTGGTGCGAGGGCCAAGGACATTTCAAAATGGTTGAAGCATATTATCAAAGTGGAGAGGAGAAGCTGGAAGTTGTTGTACATATTGGTAAGAATGGCACAGTTACATAAAGAGTTAAGGCTTTGAAGAGTGAATTTGGGAGGGTCGGTAGAACGTTAAAAATCAGAACCTCAAAGATATTTTAAAAGCTCTGGTTTACTCTCAGTGCCACATCCTAGTGAGACTAGAAAATAAAAAGATCGGGCAGGAAAACTAATGGCTGAAGAGATGATGCAATGTGCAAGGATTCAGATTTTTGGATCATTGATATCTCTTCTGGGGCAGAAAAGACCGGTTCAAAAGGGGTGGGTTTCACCTGAAATTGAAAGGGACCAGTGTCCTGGCAGCGAGATTTGCTAGTTCTATTTTAGGAGCCTTTAAACTGGTAGAGGAGGTGTGGGGTGTTCCTAAGGAGCAGTGAAAATAGAAAGACAGATAAGGATGGTTCTGAATCAAAAAAAAGAGCCAGTTAATTAAAAGAGCAGACAAGAGCAAGTTAGAGACTAAAGTAACTCTGAAGAATTAAACTGAATTTATTTAAATGCAAGGGGTCTTACAGGTAAGGCTTATGTACTCAGGACATGTGTAGGGACATGGGATGAGGACGTCATAGCTATTCCAGAACCTTGGCTAGCAGTTCAATGTTAGAGATAACACAGTGTAGAGCTGGAGGAACACAGCAGGCCAGGCAGCATCAGAGGACTAGGAAAGTTGACATTTTGCATTGGGTCCCTTCTTCAGAAATGGGGGAGGGAGAAAGGAGCTCAGAAATAGAGAGGAGGGGAGGGGCTGCGAAAGGTAGGTGGGTTGGTGATAGTTGAGTGCAAGTCAGTGGTGGTGGGGATTGGTCAGTGAAGGGAGGAGCGGATAGGTGGGAGAGAAGATGGACAGGTTGTATCAGGTCAAGGAGTCAAGGATGAAAGGGAGGGTTGGTCATGGGATGAGGCCAGGAGTGGGGAAATTTGGAATTGGTAAAGTCCACATTTGTGTCATTGGACTGTAGGCTCCCGAAGCGGAATATGAGATGCTGCTCCTCCAGTTTCCAGATGGCGTCATTGTGACGCTGGAGGAGGCCCAGGATGGACGTGTCCTCCAGGGAGTGGGAGGGGAGTTCAAATGGTTTGCGACCAGAAGATGTAGTTTGTCGCGAACTGTGCGCAGGTGCTCTACAAAGTGGTTTCTGAGCCTCCGCTTGGTCTCACCAATGTCGAGGAGGCCACATCGGGAGCAGTGGATGCAATAGACCACATTGATGGATGTGCAGATGAACCTCTGTCTGATGTGGAAGGTTTGTTTAATGCCTTGAATGGAGGTGAGGGGGGAAGTGTAGCACGTCCTGCGGTTGCAGGGAAAGATGCCGGGGGTGGTGGGGCTAGTGGGGAGAGTGGAGTGGACAAGGGAGTCGCGGAGAGAGTGGTCCCTACGAAAAGCAGATAGGGGTGGGGAGGGAAATATATCCTTAGTTGTGGGGTCAGATTGTAGGTGGCAGAGAATGATACCTTGGATACGGAGGTTAGTGGAGTGATGTGTGAGGACAAGGAGGATTCTGTCTTAGTTTTTGTTGAGGGGAGGGGATGTGAGGGGAGATGTGCGGGAAATGCAAGAGATGCGATCGAGAGCATTTTCAACCACTGAAGGGAGGATGTTGCGGTCCTTGAAATACGAGGACATCTGGAATATTTGGGAGTGGAATGCCTCATCTTGGGAGCTGACGTGGCACAGGCGGAAGAATTGGGAGCAGGGGATTGCATTCTTGCAGGAAGGTAGGTGAGAGGAGGTGTAGTCGAGGTAGCTGTGGGAGTTTGTGGGCTTGAAATAGATGTCGGTTTCGAGGCAGTCACCAGAGATGGAGACAGAGAGGTCCAAGAAGGAGAGAGAGGTATCAGAGATGGTCCAGGTGAACTTGAAGTTGGGGTGAAAGGTGTTAGTAAAGTTGATGAACTGTTCAATCTCCTCGTGGGAGCATGAGGCAGCTCCGATACAGTCATCAATGTAGCGGAGGAAGAGCAGGGGATAGTGCCAGTGTAGCAGCGGAAGAGGGTTTGTTCCACGTATCCTACGTAGAGGCAGGCATAGCTTGGGCCCATGTCGGTTCCTTAGTCTGTAGGAAGTGGGAGGAGTTAAAGGAGAAGCTGTTCAATGTTCTGGGTTTCAGTTGCTATACGAAGGATAGAAAGAGATGCAAGAAAGAAGGGGGAAATGACATTTTTGATTAAGGAAAACATTACTACTATAATTCGAGAGGAAATTTCTAAAGGATAATCCAGTGAAGTTATATGGGTCGACTTAGAAATAAGAAAGGGATGGTCACCTTGATGAGATTATACTGTAGACCCAGCCAGTGGTCAAAGAAAATTGATCAGCAAACATGTAGAAATCTCATATATATGTAAGAATAAGAGGGTTGTTATAGCAGGGGATTTTAATTTTCCAAACATTGACTGGGACGACCATATTGTTCAGGACTTGGAGGTGAATAATTTGTTAAATGTGTTCAAGAAAATTTTCTTTATCAATATGTAAATGTACTTTCTTCAAAAGGAGCAAAACTTGACCTTCTCTTGGGAAGTAAGGCAGAGCAAGTTACTGAAGTGTGAGGGGAACATTTTTTGACTTGTGATCATATTTTTATTAGTTTTAAAATAGGTATGCAAAAATCGATTGATCATGAAAGTCAAATTTCTTAATAGGAGTAAGTCAAATTTTAATGGTATGAGGTAGGAACTTTCAAAAGTTGATTTGGGTAGACTGTTCACAGGTAAAGGGACGACGGACAAGTGGGAGGCTTTAAAAGTGTGATAATGAGAGTTCAGAGACATTATGTTTCTGAGTGAAGCGTATGGTTGATAAGTGTAGGCAGTAATGGATAAATAAAGATTTTAAGGTTCTGGTCAAAAGTAAAAAAAAAAGCCATATGTTAGATATAGACAACTAAGATCAAGTAAATCTCTCGAAGAGGACAAAGGGTGTAGGGACATTCTTAAGAGGGAAATCAGGAGGACAAACAGGGGATATGAGATAGCTTTGGCAAATAAGGTTAAGGATAAGCCAAAGAGATTCTGCAAACTACGTAAAGAGGAAAAGAGAAACTAGAGAAAAAAATAGGGTGCCTTAAAGATCAAAGAGGTCAACTGTGTGTTGAATCTCAGGAGATGGGAGAGATAATAAACGAATATTTTGTGTCAGTTTTTACCGTGTAGAAAGAAACGGAGGCTAGAGAATTCAGGGAAATAAATGTTGCTGCTTTTAAACTGCTTAAAAACAGTTTACGTTACAGAAAATGAAGTTCTGGAGATCTTAGAAAACATAATGGTGGATAAATCTCTGGGGAATAAATTGTGGGGCCCTTGGTATATTATCTATCATCATGCGTGAGGTGCCAGGGGACTGAGTGGTGACTAATATTGTGCCTTTATTTAATAAAGGCTGTAAGGAGAAGCCTGGGAACTGTAGACCTATCAGTCTGACATGAGTGGTGGGTAAGTTGTTGGAGGTGATTCTGAATGATAGGACTTATATCCATTTGGAGATGCAAGGACTAATTAAGGATAGTCAGTGTGGCTTTATGCGAGGGAAATACTGTCTCACAAACTTGATCGAGGGTTTTTTGAGGAACTGACCAAAATGATTAAGGAAGGCAGAGTGGTATACATTGTTTAAATGGACTTTAGTAAAGCCTTTGACAATTTCCCACATGGTACACTAATTAGTAAAGTTAGATCACATGGGATTCGGGGAATGTGTGCCAATTGGATACAAAATTGGCTTGATGATAGCAGAGGGTGGTGGTGGAGAGTTTTTTTTTTAACTAGAGGCCTGTGATCAGTGGTGTTGTACAGGGATCGATACTGGGTCCACTTTCATTTGTCATTTATATAAACTACTTGGATGAAAATTTATGAGGCATAGTTAGTAAGTTTGCAGATGACACCAAAATTGGCAGTATAGTAGACTGTGAAAAATGTTATCTGAAATTACAAAGAGATCTTGATCAATTGGATCATTGGGCTGAGGAGTTGCAAATGGAGTTTAATTTGGATAAAGGCAAGGTACTGCATTGTAGTAAAACAAACAAGGGCAAGACTTATACAATTAATGGCAGGGCCTTGGGCAGCATTGTAAAACTGAGAGATCTAGCGTTTCAGGTCAATAAATCTTTGAAATTTGGGTCACAGATAGTCAGGGTGGTTAAGGAGGCATCCAGTATGCTTGCCTTCATTGCTCAGATGAAGGAGTATAGGAGCTGGGACATCATGTTGAGTTTGTACAGGACGTTGCTGAGGCATCTCTGGAAAACCGTGTACAGTTCTGGTCGCCCTGTTATAGGAAGGATATTATTAAATTGGAGAGAATTCAGAAAAGATTTACTAAAATGTTGCCAGGCATGGAGGGCTCAAGTTATAAGGTTAGGGTGGGATATTTTTCACTAGAGCAGCAGAGGTTGAGGGGTGACTTCATAGACGTTTACAAAATCATTGGGAACATAGACAAGGTGAATAGCAAGGCTCTTTTCCCTCGGGTAGGGGAGTTCAAAACAAGGGGGCATATTTTTACGATGAGGAAAAAGATTTAAAAAGGACATGAATGGCAATTTTTTTTTTAAACAGAGAGTGGTTCGCATGTGAAATGAACTGCCAGAAGAAGCGGTGGATGCAGGTACAGCTACAACATTTAAAAGACATTTGGATAAGTACATGAATAGGAAAGGTTTGGAGGGATATGGGCCAAAGGCAGACATGTACAACTGGTTGAGTTTAGGAACAAGGTCAGTGTGGACTAGTTGGACCAAAGGGACTGTTTCTGTGCTGTATGACTATAACGCAATCAGTGGAAGAGGCAAGAATGAAGAAGTGGCATTTTCCAGATCTGCAACTCAACCCTGTTCCTCTTTTCTCCCCATCCCCTTCAGTCCCTCCTAATATTCATCCTCGCATTTCCAGGTCTGAATCTGACATGTAAAAATATGCCCCTTTTTCTGGAACTCCCCCACCTGAGGGAAAAGACCCTTGCTATTCACCTTATCTATGTTCCTGATGATTTTATAAAGCTCAGTGAAGTCACCCTTCAACCTCCACCGCTCCAGTGAAAGATGTCCCAACCTAACCTTATAACTGTCTAAGCAAACACTTTGGTTCCCATCCCTCTGTCATACTAGTTTATAATCTCACCAATGGAACTAGCAAAAGCCTCGACAAGGATATTTGTCCCAGCTCTGCCTGGGGCAACCAGTCAGGCTTGTACAGGTTCCACCTTCCATAGAAACTTTCCCAATGTCTCAAATTCTAAACCCTTACATAGTTTACCATTTCTCCAGACATGCATTCAACTTTATCCTCTTAACTGTGCTGTCTTTGACATTCTCAGTATTGTGAATGCTCCACAATGAGTTTGCAAACAGCTCCAGCACTGAAAAACAGTTAGCCAGTAGTTGCAGATGGACATACTTCCTGCACACATTGCCATCAGGGATACTGGAAGCATTCCTCATTTCCCGCATTGTGTAAAATGGGGACATTCCCACACCAGGGGTCCGAGGTCTCCTGTCATGTCTTCTCTCGAGATTATCCTAGTTACTCCATTGAAGAGAATCTAACTGATCTAGGGATGTTCCTTCTTTTCAAACATAATCAAAAGCTCCTAACTGGACTTAAGCTGAATATTGCACATTAAAAACTGTAAGAAAATACTCTGCAGGTATCAGTTAACAATTGCCTGTTTCGACTGGGATTGTGTCACTCTCTGAACTACCCAAACTGAAACTGAGTACACTCAATCTTTCAGCTGCACCTTCTCCCTTTCTCACCTGTTTTCAGTGGGCTCCAAAGCACTCTAATTGAGCCAAGCAGCATTCACAGTGCAGTTTTGTCATTATAACTGTCTGCTCACACCTACTCCAACCTCAGCCTCCTGTCGTATTACAATGCAGCTCAATATGAGCTCAGGGAACAACATCTCATCTTTCAATTCAGCTGTTTATAACCCTCCAAGCTCAACACGGACTTTAGCACATTCAGGATCAACAGAGAGTTGTTAGGATCTGGAACATTCCACCTAAAAGGGTGCTGGAAATCAAGTCCATAAGGCATTTTAAAAGGAAGTTTTCAGGTATTTAAGAATGAGAAATTTATAGGTTAAAATCGTGATGTGTGATTGAGATTAAATATGACAGTTCTATGAGAGACAATATGTTATTTGGATTATTGGCCCTCTCAGGCCAATATCTCCTTCCTCAGCTGCAGGACCCAGGACTGAAGACATATACCAGCAGCGTTCTAAGCAGGAATTTAAACATCTTGCTGCTTTTCGAGTTACAAACATATCAGAATTATTTTCCCATAGACAGAACAAACCTTTTTCCTTCCACAGGTAAATGCCAATGATATTCAGATCCTGATCACTCCGCTGACTGTCAGAAATTGTTTTGAGATACCGGTCTCAAATGAATATCCTGTAAAACAAATTCACAAAAGAATAATCACTGTCAGTGCAGGGTAAAAATCTGGAAAAGGCAAACATTTGCCTCGGTGTCAGTTTCGCCCCGGCCAGAAGGAAGTGAGCACATGCGCGCTGCCGCACTTTGCCCCCAATAAAGATGGCGGCGGTAACACGGGGCCTGTCATAGCCTAAGGCCCACAAGTTGTTTTCGCGTTTGCTTCGAAAGAGGGTCCGGGAGTTTCTAATTCGAGTCTATCAGCCTACAGTGGGTGTTTATGAAAGCTCCCACTCCAGGCTGACTCCATTTTTTTCTCCCGTTTCCGCTGTTTCCCCCACCCTTCCCATCCCCACGTCTCAGACTCACTCCGGCGCCAGTCACAGCGGCACTACTCCGTTAGCGTTAACGGTCACGTGTCTCCCGTCCCGCCCCTCGTTGGTCCCTATTGGTTGGAGGATCTACCGCTTCACTTGGTCCTCCAGCGACGCCCACTACCTTCCTATTGGTCGTTCACCTCCTTCAATCAGTCGGGCCCCGTTGTGAGATGAGTCGCTGGAGCAATGTTCCCTCTGCCCTGGGATGAGCTTCATCATTCACAATGAGTGGTGCAGTATCACAGAGCGCAGGGGCTAGTGGACCGTTGAGCCTGTGCTCTGTTATTCGAGAAACGCTGCAAATCTATCCAACGCCCTTTGCCCATAGCCCTCCAAATCTTTACTAAAATGTTAAATTCCAAATCTCTTTCGAGAATAACCAATGAATCGGCATCCAGCTGCCGTTCAGACTGTTCCAGATTCTCTGAACTTGCTTAGGAAAATAATCTTCACATTTTCACCCTGTATTATTAGCCAATTGTCCAAAAGCTATCTTCTGTGTTTGCCAAACATAATTTTTCTGCTCTCTCTCTGCAAGTGAAATATCCTGAAAACAAATCTGCATCTCGACTAAATCATTGCTTAAAGTTCTCAGCTCTGCAGACAATTATCTGAGATTCTGGCATCTCTCGACAAAACAGAAACCCATATTAATTTTAATTTATTCATGGGGTGTGTTTTTTGTTGCCAGACTAGTATTTATTGTCCATCTTTAATTTACTTGGAGAAAGTGATCCTGAACTTCCTTCTTGAACTACTGTAGTCCATGTCTGTAAATTAATCACAGTGCTGTTTAGACAATAATCTCCTCCAACCCCACAATCTTCCCTATCTCTGTAATGGCCTCCAGCCTCTCAACCCTCCCTACCTCTGTAAAGAAGCGCAGGAAAGTTTATTGAAAGCACAGCTACAACACCTTGCACATTACAGAACATTCCATTGGTTTACAGAAATGTTATGACGCAATATTTGACGTGGAGATTTTGTCAAGGTCTTCTTGTGTTGTGAGTTTGTAAACTCACTCTGTCACATCTCTCTCCGCGTGACTTTGCATGGTGCTCCAGGCACAACTTTTGTATCTCTTTTCCAGGCCCAACTCCTTTTCCCGTGGCCTTGAGGGACGAATGTTTGTCATTTAATCTCTTCTATTTTCTACCCTGTCACAGACCATCTTTTTGTCCTTGCCTCATCCTCAAACTCTTACTCAAAGCCCGTTACATTTCTTATCATTCCCAGGCCTATGTGATGTCACAGCGCCCACTGGGTGAGTGGCCCGAGGTTTGAAATCTTTCTCCAGAGAGAATCTGAAATCTTTTTAGCTGCAGGGTCCCCCAGAGTTTATTTTGAAAAACAGTGAAATCTTTTCAGACGTACGTTTGAGCCTTCGCCCACAATTTAGAGTTTTTAGAGCTGTGCTCTACATCTAATCAGTGATCCTCCCGCAATCGGAAAATGTGCAGGTTTAGGCGGATTGGACATGCTAAATTGGCCATCGTGTGTAGGTTAGGTGGTTTGGGTTAGCCGTGGTAAATGCACTGTTGCGGGGACTACGTGGAGGAATGGATCTGGTTAGAAAGCTCTTCAGAGTGCCGATACAGGCTCGATGGGCCGCATGGACTTTTTCTGCACTGTAGGGATTCTATGATTCTAAGCAGTTGTGATCATGGGCATATTTTCATCATGCCAGCCCTTCACACCACCACGGTCATTCAGCTCAGTTTCACACCCTTCCTTTGTGTTTCTGTGGGTTCTCACTATCTCCTTTCCGTCTGTTTTATATCAACTTCACAGTGTATTTGAGGGTGAGAATGAATTTGTAATACAAATAGTTCAATTGAAATCCCTCACAGATTAGGAACTGTTTCTGCTGCTGGCATCACTCACAAGAAACAGAAAAATAAACGTTCAGTCACTAATCTGACAGGAACAGACAAGGGATAATCACTGGTAAAGATTGAATAGCTTAATTTTTTTTTCACAGGTAAAGAGAAGGCTGAGTGATAATGTGCTGCAAATGAGAAGCTTTGGCCTTGCTGTTTCAGGGCTTTGAGGTTGAAATCATTGAACCTGAAACATGTTTCATCGCCCCGGGATCGTCAAAGACTCTGTCTAAATGAGCTCTTTCTTTCTGTCTGTCTAATAGAGTTAACAATCAGATTGACAGGTCATTGTCTCTGTGTCTTTACAAGTCCCCGATTGAATCTTCCTCCACCCAACCCATTCCCCCAACCCCCACCCACTCTCAGGCCCCTCACCGCTCGCTGGGTCACCGAGACGCTCTGTCGTTAGAATGAGAAATTTTCTTTTCTTTTCTTTTATGTCGCCTCTCCTCCTGCGTATGCCCACTTCCCACTTCCATGCGTTAAATTCCAGCTGCCTCTCGTCCACCCAAATGTGTTTTTGATGACCTCGAACGGAGAGCAGACTGAAACTGAGAATTTAAGTTTCAGAGTGAAAGAGGAAGAGAAAAATGAAGGGTTTTTTTTCGGTCCCAGGGGAAAGGGTTGTTTGATCACGATATTTGAAATGAACATTAATTAAAAAAAAAACAGAAATTGCTGTAGAAATTCAGGAGAGAGAATCGGTGGAGAGAGAAGCAGAGTTAACGTTTCAGAAGTTTATCAAAGTTCTGCTTTCTCTCTCCACACATCCTGCCAGACCTGTTGGATTTTTTTCCAGCAATTTCTGTTTCTGCTTCGGATTCCCAGCATCCGCAGCTCTTTACGTTAGTCATTTAAACAACATAGATATAACTTTGTCGTTACTCACTGGATGAGATTTCTGTTTGGGGAACATTTTTCTGATCCCATTGACGATCCGGAACTGTGCAGTAAAGAAAACGAGTGGAGTCTAAACAGTGAAAGCTCTGTCCCTGGGTGGTCTCGAACAACCAACCATTCAGTTAACAGCCAAACACGCTGACGAATTGCGCCATACATACTGGCAACTTTGGTGTTTGCACATTTCCTAAAGCAGGCTGTCAGTGAGTTCAAGTTTCAGATTGCCACTCCCAGAATGACAGTTGTCCTCCGCCAGTTTTGCTTTTCCAAAATAAAGCCCAGGACATTTATTGTAGCGACATGAAAGCAGTATGATCCCACCCTTGTAGACACACCCATGTCACCGTGAACCAGATCTCCAAAACCCGGGGCCGTTTCCCTTCGACACTCCACAGATGAATATCCATTCATAACATCTTCTTTACCTGAGGTATCAATTTCAACAACAGTCGCCTCAGCAGTACTTCAAAAACTTGAGAGCTATTTCTAGAATTTCACAGTACAATGCATCACATCATGTAAGCATGTATCAAAGTCAGCACTCCCTACTGAATCAAGATCGACGGTCAAATATTTAAAGCAAGGGTTAGGTTGAGAACTGGTGATATAAGATATGATTTCCAACGCAATGTCACCAGTTCTGACTCCCATCCTTGCTTTAAAGATCTTCAACATAACGACTGTTCTCATAGCCTTCCACCTCCTGTCAATATGAACTCACTGAAAGGTCTCCTTTCCGAATCCCCTCTCTCTCCCTCTTCTTTCAAGGCACTCTTAAACAAAAACAGTATTACTTTTCTTCATATCTCATGCAACATATTGTCAAATTCTATTTAAAATAAGCCTTTGGGAACTTCATCTGATGAAGGGTCTAGGCCCGAAACGTCAGCCTTTCTACTCCTGTGATGCAGATTGGCCTGCTGTGTTCATCCAGCTCTGCACCTTGTAAGCTCAACATAGAATTCACAAGTTTCAAAACATATCACCCCAGGCCTCATTCCATTTCCAAAACCCCTCTCATCCCCGGATCCTTTACCTGACACTACCTGTCCATCGTCTTCCCCAGCTATCCGCCCCACGCTTCCCACTGACCAATCCCCACTACGCCCTACCTGCATCCACATCTCACCATCCCACCTACCTTTCCCCAGCCCCATCACTCCTCGCTCTATTTATTTCCCAGCTCCCTTATCCCTCCCCAGTCCTAATGAAGGTTCCCGGCCGGAAACGTGGACTTTCTTGCTCCTCTGATGCTGCCTGACCTGCTATGTTCCTCCAGCTCCACGCTGTATTGGCACCACATACGTAATGGATAACTTATTGTTATTGTTAAATTCATCCAAGACCTTTTTGGGCAATGTTCTAAATGTCAGATTATCCTTTTGGCTCAGTTACTTCCCAGTCCCTCTTCTATTCAAGAGTTCCTTTACCCAAAAATCGAAGACCCCGTGAATTTCTTGTGCTGCTAGTGGACTTAAACCACTTCTTGTAGACTTCAAAGTGTTCTAGAAGTGGAGGTGAGGAGTGAGAGACGGATGTTAGAGTGACCACAAAACGCACTATGCCGAGCAAGAAGAGCAGGAAGGTACTCATAATTTTTACGGCGTCGGGCTCTCAATCCCCTGGTCCCCCTTTTTCCTGTTCATGTCTAGATGAGCCGCTGTCACCGCTCTCACTCCGAATTAAATGGCGCACGGGTTCGCGTTACTGTCATTTCTCAATGCTATGAGCCTTTGGGTTGATGAGGATGGGGATGGGGGCGTTCTTCCTCAGCAACTGGGCAGGCACTGGTGCTCTGTCAGTATCATCCCTTCTCTACTCCTCGCGCCGACCTAATGAGCGACAGGCAGTTAGATAAATCTGCCAATTCGGCGGATAAACCTGATATTTGCCCCTAACATTTTAATATAGAGCGGAATAACTAACCCAATTCTAAAGAAGATCACTAAACTCAAAATGTTGAATGTGTTTTTGTCTCCACAGATGCTGGTAGATCTGCTGTGTTTCCCAAACAATTACTGGTGAGAAAGATAAAAAATCTAAAGCAACATATTTAACACAAAACTGATTTATTTCATGCTTATACAGTATATTAATACCTCAGTTGAACTGGAGTTTATTAACATCAGCAGAAACTGAAACGGTCTGACGGTGGTGTGGTAATAATATCACTGGCCTCGGAAGCAGTAAGGTTCTGAGGGACATGACAAGGTGTAGAGCTGGATAAACACAGCTGGCCAAGCAGCATCAGAGGAGCAGGAAAGCTGACGTTTCGGGCCTAGACCCTTCTTCAGATATGTTCATCCAGCTCTACATCTTGTTATCTCTTATTTTGAAATAGACCCCATCTACATACCACAACGGAGCAAAACCGGAAACAGAATCACTCAGTTTGACAGACCGGACCGTATGAATTCAGAACGGAGCAGAACAACAGCGCTTCAACAGACGCTAGCACTGACGATGTCACCTTCAAGGGGGACGAAAAGTTTGCACGAAAACCAGTCAGCTCGGCGAGCCAAACAACGACTCCAAACGCAACCCGAGCTGCAGATGCTTGCTAAAACATTAAGCACATTGGAGTATTGTGTTCAGTTCTTGTCACCTTATTTAAGGAAGTCCTAGAAAGAGTGCAAAGAAGATTTACTACACTGATACCAGGAATGAAGGAATTTAGAGACAGGGCGAGATTGGAGACACTGGGCTTAGTCTCCTTGAAGCAGAGAAGATTAAGCGATAACCTTGTTGAGCTGTTCAGAATTATGAGCAATTTTGATGGGTTAGAGAAGGATATTCTATTTGCACGAGTTGCTATGTTAGTAGCTAGGTGTGATAATTTCAAGATTTTCAGCAAGACAACTGGGAGTGAGATAAGGAGAAACATCTTTATTCAGAGAGTTGTTAGGATTTGGAATGCATTGCCTGGTAGAGCATTGAGGGCAGGTTCCAGAGGAGGTTTCAAAAGTGAGCTGGATATATATTTAAAAGTGACAATTTTTTGGAGCTGCTGAGATACAGCTGAGCGTGTGACAAGCTCGGTAGCTCCTTCGGGAGCCATACAGGTTCGAACAGCCTCGTTCTGTATGATAAAATTCCATGATTCTATCATTCTGAAAAAACGTTCCAACATCCTACTTAAAATTCTATAATCCAGCACCTCTACCTCTCCCCCTCTCCCCAGGATTTTTTTTTTTTGACAATGGCCTATGGGCTGTGTTTGAACCCAAAAGATTTCAGAAAATGTGCCACTGCGCCATGAAGTTAAGACATCTGAAGTGTCAAGACATCTGCCTTTCTATGACAAATCTAACTTGAAGAATGATTGCACAGCGAGCAACACTTGGTGACTTCATTCATGCTGTCGGCTGTGACAGTATATGTCATGTCCTCTAAAAAAAAAACAGACTGCCCAGTAAGTTTATTCAGGACAGTATATACGAGGAAGAAGATTCCCGTCTCAGTAAACACTCCTTGGGTCTGTCGCACGCGGTTATTTACAGAGTAAAGTTCACTTTACATTCTCAGCGTAAATATACTCAAGACACAAAAGTGATGGAATTGATGCACAACACAGACACAAACGACGGGGTGATTCCAAGAGACTGGAGCCTACGTTGTTTATAAATATCATTGAGAACAAATCAGTCGACTCATCTGATACACCCGGAAGCAAAAATCCCTGCCAATGATTCTTGGAGACGACTGCAAATCTGACACAGAATTATCATCGAGCTGTAACGAAGAGGTTGGGTTCTACCCGACGCTCCAGGAGAATAAACCATGAAAATTCACAGCCATAGCAGCATATCCATTGCAATTAGGAATTTCGCCAAGGAACGAGAATTTTTCACACAGCAAGGGGTTTGTCAAGTACAGAGATTCTAAAACCATTTCTCGTATTTTCAGTTTCTTCGACCTGTAAAATCGGTGATTTGTCGTGGTGTAATATGACTGGATAATGAATCGAAACTCCAAGGCTGTCATTCTGTAGTCATGTGTTCCGATCCACAGCAATGATTAAAATTCCAATTCCTGCAAATGCTGCTGACCATGTAAACATTAACAATAGTTGCAATTACCGACCTCGTCCACTAATGTCCTTTAGGGAAGGCCATCCGCCATCGTTACCTTTTTCGGGCCCACGTGTGATTCCAGACCCACCGCAATGTGAGTGCATTCAGGATAATTTCCCCAAAGTAATTTTTTGATGAAGTCTACCATAAAGCAGGCTATCTGGTAAATTGTAATCGGTAATGAGTCAGGTTTAATAAATTATTTCGGAATTAAAGATCCCCTATGAAGTATCCGCCCCTTCGAGCCTCCTACAACATGCAATAAGATTTGATTGTTGTCACGTCGATTTTATTTCGTGCTATCAACACACATTCATCTTCTCTGTTTGCCGATGACATTTCTAACTAAAACTTTAAATATGTTTCAAAACCCAACCTTCACCATCTGCCCGGGAAGAAAGATCCTCTGAAAAAAAAATCAGCTTTATCGTTGTCGTTAAATGGAGATTTTTTATTATTAAACTATTTCCACTAGCTTTCGTTTCTCTCACAAGAGGAAAATTATCCGGGAAGCCACAGTATTCAATTCCGTTAAGATCATACGTATTTTAATAAAATTGCATTTAATTTTTGTTAATTCCAAAATGGGTGTAACATACTCAAGTTTGTTTTTGCATAAACGAACGCTTGATGCAGGAATGAATCGAGTAAATCTGTTTTGAACTGCTTTCAAAGCGAGTATTTCATTCTTTTTTAAATAACCACAACTGGCACAGTACTCTAGATGTGGTCTCCTCAATATTCTGCAAAGATGCAACGCATTTTTCTTATTTTATTTTAAATTCCCTTTACGATAAATAACAACTTGTTTAATCACTTCCACAAACTGCACACTACATTTAAGAGATTCAAGAACAAAGACACCCAGGTTGTTCTCCAGCAATGTTACTCCATTTAAATGTTACACTGTATTTCCATCATCCCTGCCAAAGTGGACAGAGTCACGCTTATTTTCACAATATTTCACAATGAAACAACCTTTTGCCCATTTACGCAACCTGTATGCATACCTTTGTTGATTCTCTAATTCGACTTCAATACTTCCTTTGGTACCTTTCATTTTCGGTAAATTTAGTCTAAATGCGTTCACTCTTCTCATCTAAATCGTTGAATTAGCCGAGAAAAAAATGAATGATCTAATAATATATTCCCGTGGCACTCCACTAGAGATAACGTGGACAGGTGAGAAAGATCATTTGTCTCAAAATACGCAGATCCTTACCAATCCTTAGTTGCTGTTTATGTCAACCTTCGACACAAGGTTCTTTTATCATATACAAATATCTTTGAAGTGACGACTTATCAAATACCTTTTGGAAGTCAACACATCTACCTGTTCCAGTCTTTTCACGTTGACTCTATCTCAGTTACCATGACACTGGAGCACCCATCTTCTCATAATACATGTTCCTTGTCCCAGTTGTCACTACAATTAGCCAATTTATTTCTAGACAATGTTTCAGTAATTTCTTTAGCTTACCATGTCTTTCTTTTCAATATATGAAGAATAGTGTCAGTTGTCCTATGAATTGGAGCAGTCAGATCGAACTGGAGCTCTTGGAGTTAGTTCTCACTTGAATTGTTTCCCAGAGCACAAGGATTATTTGGCAGTTCAAATATGGTGCAGAACTTTACTGCAATGAGCTCTGGCCTTCATCTCAGATGAATATCCACAACAGCTAATGATTTTTTCCTTAAATGTTCAGCTAGTAATTAATTTTGTTTCGTGAAAAGCTTTTAGAATTAAATGCAAAACCATGTTACAAAACCAAGTACATGATGGGGGAATCATTTTAGGCTACAGGCAAGGTCTCACTTTAGTATCTAACATCAGGACATTCATTTGGTGGAAACTGCAAAGCATGCTTTTGGGGTAAAGACAGAATATGCAGCCATCAGTTCGCCAGCGAAGATAATGGAGGTATTTACTTTTCCAGTATTGCAAAGAGAAGACATGAAACGTTGAGTGAATCTGTTTGTTCAACCAACTGTAACAAATGTGCACATTGCAACCTAACTGTGTCTCTGGAGAGTTTCATTAGCGATAAATGAACGAAGCCTTCAGTGTATCATTCGATTAAGTGCACACTTTGAAGATTTTTCTTAATTTCTGAAAGACGATGCACGGGCCAGCGAATGGACAGTTCTATGCCATTTATTATCCAGTCCTTGCTGTTATTGGTGTTCCGGGTAAGCTATAACTTTTGCTTTCAAATCGCTAGAACCATTGTCTCTCCACAACTGGATATTTCTGATTAATTCTGATATTGAGTACATTATGAGTATAAGGAGATTCAACTCTAAAACTATAAAGAGATATAATATATGATATTGAACTGACATATTTATTTCAGTAGTGTAAAGATAGTATAACATATCATTCAATTTTCTGCGGTGTAATTTTTAGAAATTTCTTTTTATTGCGGAAACACGAAGGAAAATATTTTGTTTCATTGTTACCAGCAGATTTCATTCTCCCATTTTTAGTATTGAATGAAATAATAGCCCATCATAATGCACTTTTTTTCTAATGCAGCAGCTCCATCACAAACTGCTACAATGATTAATTACATAGCAAAACTTTATGGTTTGAATTAGAAAAATATGTTTAGTAATTACATGAGTCTGAGCTGTCACCTTGGAAGAAGAAAAAGTGTTCATTTTAAAAATGCATTGTACTATGTGTGCATTATATTTAATACATGGTTGATTTATGCTATTTCTTATTTTCGTGCATGTGGCCATCGCTGGAAGATTAATATTTATTGTCTGCCTCTTGTTTCCCGTTCAGAAACTAGATTTGTGCTTACGTTGTACAACCACACCCATTTGTAATATAATGGGGTGCTTCACAGCAACTTCAATAATCAAAGTACAGCAATGACTACACTCGGATTTATGCGAGAGAATGACGAAACATGTAATCAGACCACAAGGCTTAAAGAAAAAAAGAGAGCATTGGAGCAGTCGAGAGAGAGGATTTCAGTGATTTAGGGGTTCTCAACTGAGGCCACAAGGGCTACTGATGGAAAAGTCAAATTCAGGGATGCAGAAGGGGACAAATTTTGGCTGATGGAGATCCAGGAGATTGCAAGACTGCTGGGTGGCATGGCTGTGGAAAGATTTGAAAATAAGTACTTTCGTGTTAAGTTCAAAGAACTCCTATGCCAGAAAACAAAGTACATGATAAATCATGGTTTTGATTGATGTCAGGGGTTTTGTGTGAGTAGGAACATAGGTCGCAAGCATTTCAGATGAGCTGAAGCTTGCTACCAGTAACAGTGGACTGAGTTTCAAGAGACTGTTCTAATTGTCGCAGTTGTTACAAAAGGATGGTTGTAAATGCGTGATATTCAGAATAAAGAGGGAGATCTTGCCTGGCTAATTTAATTGCATAGAGTTTTTTTTTTGAAAAGATGACTCAATTTCTTTCATGTGGCAGCAAAATTAATATTGTTCACATGGACTTCAGTAAGTCCTTTGACATGGCCCTACATGGGAGACTGGTCAAAACAGCACGAGCTCAGGTGATCGAAGGAAAGTTAAAAAAAAATCTGTATCCAAAATTGGCTTGTAATTAGGAGGCAATGAGTGATGGTGGAGGGATATTTTTGTAATTGGAATCCTGGAACCAGCGGTGTGCTGTGATATTGGTATTGGGACCCTTGTTGTGTCTTATGCACACGAATAAAATCAAAGTGAATGTAAAAGGTATAATTTGTAAGTTTGCGGATTAAGCAAAACTTGGTGTTAATGATAGAGAGGAGATGATCTCAGGCTATAAGAATCCTACAGTGTGGAAACAGGCCCTTCGGCCCAACACGCCGAACCTCAGAGCATCCCACCCAGACCCATCCCCCTATAACCCACCTAATCTACACATCCCTGAATACTATGGACAATTGAGTATGGCCAATCCACCTAACCTGCACATCTTTGGACTGTGGGAGGAAACCAGAGCACCTGGAGGAAACCCACGCAGACACAGGGAGAATGTGCAAACTCCACACAGACAGTCACCCGAGGCTGGAATCTTACGGGGGTCCCTGGCGCTGTGGGACAGCAGTGCTAACCACTGTGCCACCGTGCCGCCCACAAGTTTGATATTGATCAACTGGGCAGAGCAATGGCAGGTAGAATTCAATACTGATACGTGCGAGGTAATGCATTGGGAGATCTAATAAGAGAAGGATATGGAAAATGAGTGGTAGTTCCCTAGATACTACTGAGCAACAAAGGGACCTTGGGTACAGGTCAATAGATCACTGGCGATGTGAGTACAGGTGGACAGATTGGAGAATAAAGCAAACAGAAGACTTTCCTTCATGAGCATGTATGTAGAATACAGAAACAAGAAAGTCCACGCTGCAACTTTATAAAACATTGCTTCGGCCACCGATGGTGTAATGTGTGCAGTTCTGTTCGCCATCCTATCAGAAGGACGTGATGGAATGCAGACGGTGCAGGAAACTCGTCAGAACGTTGCTTTCGATGAAAAGTGTCAGTTATGAGGAGAGACTGGATGGGCTGCGTTTGGAGCAGAGCATACTGCGGGGGAGAGGGGGTGGGGTGGGATCTGGTTGTTTCAGACAAAATTCCGCGAGGCACAGGCAGATCGTGAGAATTTCTTTCCCATGGCAGATGTGTTATAGGCCAGGGTGCATTCACTTAAGGTGGGAAGGAAGTGGTTCAGAGAGACGTTATTTTTGCAACCGGAGAGTGATAAAAAAAATGAAGCCATCTGGCTCAGAGAGTAATGTAGGCAGGTACTCTCGCAACATTTAAGAAGTATCTGGATAAGCACTGAAAAGATCTGGAATAGGAGGTTGTAGACCAACTGCATGTAAGTGGGATACGTATAGTTTAATGTTTGTTGGTCAGCATAGACATGGTGGGCTGAAGTGCTTGTTTCTATGCTGTGTGACTCTCTGACATTATGTAATACGTAATGTCAGTACTATATTTTAATGAAGAGGAAGGCGTTTGGTAAAGTATCTCAAGCTCAAACAATGGCCAACAATTTAAACGGTCTCTCGTTCAGATAACAAAGTCATTTTCTGCAGGCTGAAGTTTTTGAAAGGAAAATAAGGCAAGATTTTCTGATTCACAAACGTTTAACTGCAGCAAATGCTTGCCTCTTTGTGAGTGAATATTAAACAAACAACCAAGGCTTTAGAACAATTTAAATCCAGAGTTCGAAAATGAATGCACCGGGATGATTTCAGTAGCAGATTCGATTGGGCAATGCCTGACCTTTGAATTTAACAGATAAGATGACTTCTTTTTCTGTCACAGCCAATTTGATGGCGACCATAATCCTATCTCGAGAACGATGTGGACTGTCCCGGTGCATCACCTACTACCTGGTGGCGATAGCGGTGGCTGATTTCCTTGTCATCATCACAGCTGTCATCCTCAACCGGATTGCTGGTATCTACTTTCGTGACAGTATCTTGTCCACAATGCCTTCTTGTGCACTCAGCACTGTGCTGGTGTATGCTACTCGTGATGGCTCAGTCTGGCTGACAGTGGCCTTCACTGTTGACCGTTTTGTGGCCATCAGCTGTCAGATCCTGAAGACCAGGTACTGCACTGAGAAAACTGCATCGTTAGTCATAGGAATTGTCTGTGCCCTAAGCTGTGTCAAGAATATCCCTTTCTATTTTATCTACCAGCCACTGTACGTCTTGGATGGGGTGCCCTGGTTCTGTGACATTAAGTTCAGCTATTACAATTGGCCAGTCTGGCAGGCCTATGATTGGCTGGACCGCATCTTAACCCCCTTTGTTCCTTTCCTCCTTATTCTGTTGCTCAATGCTCTGATTGTAAGACACATTCTAGTGGCTAGCAGAGCCCGCAAAAGACTCCGGGCCAGTGAGAATCGACAAGACCCAGAGATGGTCAATCGCAAGAAGTCTATTGTTCTGCTGTTTGCCATCTCTCTCAGCTTCCTCTTACTGTGGGTGACCTATGTCGGACATTTCCTTTACGTGCAGATTACAGGTGAGGCCTACTTCAGCGGCCTGGATTTTAATGACCCACAGTACATCCTTCAAGAGACGACCAACATGCTGCAACTGCTCAGCTCCTGCACTAACATATTTATCTACGCAGTAACACAGACCAAGTTTCGAGAAGAACTGAAGAATACACTGTTGCAACCTTTCAACACCATCGTTGTTTGTTTTACAACAATGAAAGAGCAGTAAAATGTATTCTATGTAAGTACCTAGCCTTCACCAGTGCAAACACATCCAAAGTAAATACAGGTAAAATGAAGTTCAAAGAAAGATTGAATAAAAAAATGATTTCTATCAGGATTGTCAAGGTCGCGGAATTCAATAGAGTTGGCGTCCAAGAACTATATGGCACAATATGTCCTCTATTAACAATGATGTGTTTAGGAAAATATAAATTTTGCGGAATGAAAAGTAAGCTTCAGATGAAGGTGGGGAAGTGTGGGCTGTTGGCCTGAATTCGCTTTACTTTTGGCTGTACGGATTTAAATGGGTGATTGACAAACATTATGAAGACGGCATATCATAAGGGAGTGGTCGTCAGGCGGTTATTGCAGATAGCAATTATTTTATAGGAGCTGTTATCTTCAGATGAAAGATGACCGAGAAAAGATTGAGGAAGGCTAAAGGTTAGTAAATCATAATACTTCTGCCGGGTAGCCTTTCCAACTTTATTTACTGAAATGCATCAGCGTTCATCCTTTGGCATCAGTGAAGCCTCCGCAATTATCAAGATTTGTGTATTGTTCTTTGACTAGTTGACTTATGTATTGTATCCAAACTGTTACTTCTTAAAAAGTTTAATAAACTATCCCAAACTTCTCTACAAATGTCAACTACTTATGTTTCGCTGATCCGTGTGAGTGGACGAAACACTGAGATACACACACCCGAGTGAGGATATTGCAAGGCTCTTACAGCAGAAGCGATTTAAACCAATTACGTAGTCTAATAAAATTAACTCACTATTCAGAGCAGGGACTGAGTGGATCCACAGATAATCCAGTCTGGAGAAGGGCAATCTCTCTCTCTCTCTCTCTCTCTTTATCTCTCTATCTCACACACACACACACACACACACACACACACACACACACACACACACACACACACCACAAACATGTTGTGGAAATCAAATCTGGGAAACGATTCAAATACCCATTCCGGTTGGCAAAAGACTGACACAGTCACACTGGGGAGAGACCATTTATCTACTCCATCTGTGCAAAGGGATTAACTTAGTCAGCCAACCTTCTGAGACACAAACGTACACGTATTGGAGACAGACCACTCACTTGATCTGATTGTGGAAAGGGGTCAGCAGTTCATTCAAACTACTGAAACATAACAATAAATTACAATGGGGAGAGGCTGTTGACGTGCTCTGAGTGTGGAAAAGCGTTCACTCAAGTACGCCACTTGATGACACGCCAAATCATCCATATTGTGGAGCGAGGAGTCACCTGCTCCGAATGAGAGGAAGGGTACAATCAGTTAACCTCCGTGAGTGTGCGCCAGCTGTTAAAAGTCGTTTCAACTGTTCTGCCTGCAGCTTCAAAGACAAGCATGGAATAATGACACGCCTCCACATTTAGACTGGAGAGTAACGGTTCACCTGCTCCCTGTGGGAAAGTGAGTCCTCAGTCACCCCATTTCGTGAGCTACCAGCGAGCTCACAAATGACTGCAAGTCTATTATACTGTCACTTGCAACCAGGATTGAAATAAATTGATTCTAAGTGCAGCAAAGCTTAACTTAGACTGGTGTCTTGAGGCAGTGGGGCTACTGCACCTGACGAAGGGGCTGCGCTGAGAAAGCTTGTATGATTCCAAATAAACTTGTTGTACTGTCACCTGGTGTCGTGTGACTTCTGACTTTGTCCACCCAGTCCAACAGCGGCATCTCCACGTCATCGCTACTGCCCTCTTGTGTCGGAAGCTACAAAAGCTTTTCCGAACGAGTTCAGATGGTGTGGGCGGCTCAGAGAACTAAATCTGTGTAAAGACAGACATTTCATTTCTCGTAATTTAGCACATAATGAATAACAGAATTTCGACACAGTTAATTTGTGGCAGTCATTCTGGCCACTGTTATGACTGACTTTAGCCAAAGAAATCCTGATTCACAAAGTGGTTGGTGTACGTGTTGGAAGCCAAATTCATTTTCAATTGTGTATTTCAGGGATAGGAATAAAGCATAACTTGCATCAGCTGCTGCCTAGAATGAGTTAAAGTAATGGCCTTTGTCAAATCGCCGAATTTGCGAATAAATAAATGGTGCATTTTTGTAAATTATGTTTTATATGCAGAATTATTCGTTCATTTTATCACAATGATCATCAGTTGATTCTGCCAGTACCAGTTGATTATCCATGAGAAATTAAAGCTACGTAGAAAAGTCATCTTTTACATTCTGTCTCAATTCTCTCTGAACGTGGCGGCATGACAGAGCAGATATATTTCATTTTAAATAAAAATATTCGAACCTGGAAAAAAATCAAATAGAGGGGTATCCTGAAGTGGAGAACAAAAACAGAAGTTGCTGGAAAAGCTCAGCTGGCCTGGCCGCATCAGTGGGAAACAAAAAATCAGACGGGTCCTGTGAACCTTCGACAGAACCGGTGGTAGTTGGGAAAACATCGGTTTATATGCAGAAAATGGGGAGGGGAATGGGGTAGGGAGTAAACAATCTTATAAAGTAAAGAGACCGAAGGGAGAAGTGCAGTTGGATGGATAAAGGAGTTGATAACGATCTGACTGGGAGGGTGATGAGTTGTTAATGGGGACTGTTAGTGACTAATAATAGGTAGTGTGCCATGGCAGGCTATGTGATAACAAGGTCTAGTATGTGGGGTAGGAGGCTAGGATACGGGACAGTGTAGGCTGTAAAATTGCTCAACTCAATATTGAGTCCGGAGGGCTGCAGAGTCCCCAAGCATAAAATGAGTAGTTGTTCTTCCAGCTTGTGTTGAGCTTTGTTGGAATACTGCAGCAAGTCAGATACAGACACGATGATCAGAGAACAGAGTGGTATGTTAAAGTGGCAGGTAACTGGAAGCTCATGGTTTTTTTTTTAGCGAGCAGAAGGTAGATGTTCTGTGAAGTGGTCATCCAGTTAACGCTTCGTTTCCCCAAAGTAGAGGAGACAACATTGTGAGCAGTGAACGCAGTAGACTACATTCTGTGAAGTGCAGGTGAAGTATTTCTTCACTTGGAAGGTATGTTTGGGCTCCTGGATAGTGGGGAAGGGGGAGGCAAATGGGCAGGTGTTGCATCTTCGCTGGTTGCAGGCGAAGGTGCCGTGGGGATGTGGGGAGAGGGTGCTGGGAGTGAATGAAGAGTGGACAAAGATGTTCTGGACGGGATGGTCCTTGCAGAAGGCAGATAAGGGAAGGGAGATGAATATGTGTCTCGTGGTGGCATCATCACGTTGGACGTGTTGGAATGCTGCTTGATGATCTTCTGGACGTGAATGCTGGTGGGATGTTCGATAAGGACAAGGAGAACCCTATTGATTTACCGCGAGGGAGAACAGAATGTGAGTGCAGAAGCATAGAAGGTGAGTCAGACCGAGTTGAGGTCTCTGTCGACAATGCTGCTGGAGAATCCTAAGTTCATGAAGAAGGTGGGCATTTTGGAGGCTCCATTGTCGAAGTTAGCCTGATCTGAACATATGCGACAGAGATGGAGAAGCTGAAAGAATGGAATGGAGTCTTCACAGGAAGCAGGGTGTGAGGACGTATAGTCCAGGTAGCTGTGGGAGTCACTGGGTTTACAGTGGATATTAGTGGGCAGCCTATCCCCAGAAATGGAAACAGATGTCGAGAAAGGGAAGGGAGGAGCCAGAATAGGCCAGGTGAAATTGAGGGCTGGATGGAATTTGGATGCGAAATCGATTAACTTTCCCAATTCCAGACGACAGAGGGAAGCAGCACCGATGATATCATCGATATATCGGAGAAAGAGTTATGTGTGGGGGCTAGAATAGGACTGGAACAAAGTATGTTTCAGATGACGCATGAAGAAATAGGTATAATTGGGGCCCATGCGGCTCCCCATGGCCACCCCTCTGACATGAAGAAAATGAGAGGAGTTAAAAGAGATGTTGTTGAGAGTGAAGACGAGTTCAACTAAGCGGAGGAGGATCGTGGTGGGTGGGGACGGTTCAGGTCTTCGATCCAGGAATAAACGGAGAGCCCTAAGATGTGTAAACGTGGAATGGACGTGTAAAGGGATTGTGCATCCATGGTAAAGAGGAGACAGCTGCAACTTACAACCTGGAAATTTTGAAATCAGCGTAAAGCATCAGAGAAATCATGGGTGTATGTGGGCAGGGATTGGAGCAGGGGAGAAAAGATTGAGTCAAAGTAGGAGTAGATGAGTTCTGTATGGCAGGAACAGCCTGAAACAATGGATCTGCCCGGGCAGTCCTGTTTGTGGATTTTGCGGAGGAGGTAGAAGTGAGCTGTGCGGGGCTGGGTATTACCAGCCTGGAGACAATGGAGGGGGAGGTGAGCAGATGAAATGAGATCTGTTACCGTAGTTGATACAAAGGCCTGATGTGCCTTGTTGGGGTCATGGTCCAGGGGAATATAGGAGGAGGTATCTGAGAGCTGGGCTGAACCTCTGCAATGTCGAGGTCAGTACAACAGACTACAAACCTTTATTTGCAGGCTGAATAATAAAGTCAGGGTTAGATTTATGCGCACTGATTGGAATCAATTCAGAGGGAGATAGGTTAGGTTTAGTGAGGAGGGCGGAGAATTTGAGGCGAAAAATATCTTGTCAAAAGTTCTCAATGAACAGATCAAGTATAGGTAAAAGGCCTGAGGGAGGAGTTCATTTGGAGGTAGAGTGTTGGAAGTGGGCGAAAGGGTCTGTCGGACGAGGAGAGGACTCTTGTCCAAAGAAATGAGCATGGAAGTGATGACGGCAGGAGAAGAGTTCAATGTTATTGCGTTAAGGTGGGGACGCAGAGGAACAAAGCTGAGACCTTTACTGAATAGAGAACGTTGAACATCGGAGAACGAAAGGTGAGGAAGGATGCTGAATACCCAACAAGAATGGTCTTGGGGAGGAGATGAAGTCAGATGGAAGGGGAAGAGAGGAAGCTTTCAGAGGACCATGGGTATCTCTGAGTTGTTGCATCTTCTGGGCATTGATTCCTGAAAGGAAAAGGAAAAGCGGCTAGATCTAACCATGACTTTTCTACTAAGGCTTCCAATTAGGGTGGTGCTGTTGTAGTCTTGCGTACTGACCTCCACATTGCAATGGGTTAGCACCCGCTCTCAGATACCTCCTCCTATCTTAACCGACGTTTTCCCAGCTACCAGCAGTTCTGAGGAAGGATCACTGTACTTGAAACGTTAATTCTGATTTTTACTTCACAGGCGCTTCCAGACCTGCTGAGCTCTTCCAACACCTTTCGTTTTTGTTCCTGATTTACAGCATCCACAGTTCTTTCCTGAAGTAGTGAAGTTGTCCTCACGAAAAGCACATTCATTCTTATCAGATGTCGACCTAAATCCAAAACTAAAGACAGAAGGAACATGAATGTCTAAAACATGAGTAGAGATACTTATTGTTGTGCACAACCGTCTTTCAAAATTTCCATCGAGTGCTGGAAATTTCTATTCCGTGTTCCATGTCAACAAAGGGTAGGTTCTGTACCAGTCCGGAAGTAATAGATGTGGAAATGAGTCATTATTTTAATATTGAGGGCAAGTTCTATGCAAAATTGAATTACTGTGATGAGCTTTCAATGTTGCTTCTCCTGTTGATATATTTAGAGAAAGTAAAATACGCATCACAACAATATGATGAAACACACGCATTGAAAGCGAAAATTGAAATTATACGATTAATGTTGAGATATTTCCCCTGTTATACTGCGAACGATTACACTGTGGAAGTTTCAGCTACAGCAGAAGGAAAACAGCCTGAACTATTGGATGCTGCAAATGAAGCTGAAATGCCCAGTATTCCCGCATGAAACTATTTTACCGGGAAGGAGGGCATATCTATTCCAATTGAACGCTATCCATCCAACTGCAATTTGTGTTGAAAAATTGTACATCGCAATTACCATTATACACCAATAGGGGGTAGTGCAAACCTGTGATAAATATTGAACGTGAGGGAACGAGGTGGACCAAACTTACAGACAGTGAGAATAGCTGTCAGTGTGAAAGGCTTGGTACTGAAAGACAAACGCTGGAGACTCAACTTCTTCTGGAACTTCGACAAGAAGCGAACTCTAAATAGGGCGTTTGGCCCATCGTTTACTATCCGGATAATTAATCTATCTGCTGCTTATAATTCGTCCTCTGTAGACATTTGCTTTGACCAGCGTTTCATGTAATATGACAATGTTGCATACGCATAGAGTAATTTTGTTTTTCTCCACTCTGATCTGCACAGAGGTGTCTGGACAAGATGAGGTGAAGCAGTACCCTGGGCAGGCTGTTGTAAGTGAAATGGGAATCGCATCCATGAACTGTACCAGCACCATTGCTTTTTCCATTGTGTACTGGTATAAACAACTCCCGAATCAGCCACCCCAGCATCTGGTGATGGCCAGTCGCAGAGCTGATTCACACGAAAAGATCACTGCTTCAATCGGTGAAGGGAATAAATTCAGTGCCCTGACTGTGAGAAACTGCAGCACCAGCGACAGTGCCATTTATTTCTGCGCCATGAGGGCACAGCGTTGCAAACATATGGCGAGCTCGTACAGAAACGTACGCAGAGTGGAAGACAGCTAAGCTGTACTTCAAGAAACAGTGAAGCCCGTGTCAGATCTCCACAATCTGACGTTAGGGGGAATTAGCGCAAAAAAATGAGAAATTATATCAGGGAAAAACATTGAGAGTAACAGGCCTGAAGAGAGTGGAAATATGCACAGAGAAATAAGAAAACAAATTCACAGGCTAGAGTCAGCGTGGAAAAAGGAGGATATGAAGACGTACAGGAATTATAGGTGCAGAGTACAGAATATTTAGAAAAGAGGAAGGAACTATGGAAGACAGTGAAGCATTTCCAACGTGATGCAGAGATTAAGATCAAGTTGAATCACAACTGAATGAATCTTGCAAAATGCAAAATGGCCTTTCCTTTAACCTCAACTATTTCTTTCATACGTCACACAATTGAATTGTCTCTAAAACTGATAATTGGATATTGTTCCGTCTAAAATTTATTTATTCAAATATGGCAAAATAAAAGTATTTCAGAGATAGTAGGAACTGCAGATGCTGGAGAATCTGAGATTACAAGGTGTAGAGCTGGATGAACACAGCAGGCCAAGCAGCATCAGAGGAGCAGGAAGGCTGACGTTTCGGGTCTAGACCCTTCTTCAGAAATGGGGGAGGGGAAGGGGGTTCTGAAATAAATAGGGAGAGAGGGGGAGGCGGATAGAAGATGGATAGAGGAGAAGATAGGTGGAGAGGAGACAGACAGATCAAAGAGGCGGGGATGCAGCCAGTAAAGGTGAGTGTAAGTGGGGAGGTAGGGAGGAGATAGGTCAGTCCAGGGAGGACGGACAGGTCAAGGGGGCGGGATAAGGTTAGTAGGTAGGAGATGGGGGTGGGGCTTGAGGTGGGAGGAGGGGATAGGTGGGAGGAAGGACAGGTGAGGGAGGCGGGGACCATCTTAAGTAGAGGATACCCAGATACAGGTACGTGTGTTTAATAATTGAAAGTGTAGACAAAAATCGAGCATAGGAATGCAAAGTTTCAAATAGTACTGGAAATACTCAAAGCCCTGACACGGAACAAAAGCATCTTCAAAATGTACACAAATTATGTTCCTTTAATCTGACTCCGTCCCAGTCAGTCTTCAGAACTCGAGGCCTCGCTGCCTTCTTGTGCTGGCATTCGGCCAAATATCCAGAACTCATCTCCTCGAGTTGGACTCGATTCGGATTCCCTTTCGCGCCAGTTTCCAGGCCGCAATTTCGCAACCATGACTCGCCTCTAGACTGCTCCAGACTCACACTACCTCCCGCATCGGCTCCGATACTTGACTCGCCTCCAGGACTCGACTGTCAGGCCAGCTGGGCTCAGAATGCCTCCCATACTCCTCTCTCGCATTTGACTCGCCAATCTTCCATGTCTCTCGGGCTGGCTTAGCATCGGACTTCCTCCCGTACCAGTCTCTGCCCGCAACTCACCTCCGGAACTCTCCTCCCGCACTGGCACGGTCTCTGACTCATCTCCCGCGCAAGAAGGAACTGAAGTTCACCTCTCCCTTTTTGCATTCCCTCCAGGTAAGTTTCAGAGGTTAAAAGTTGATGGGAGAGAGGGGAAGATAAACTTAATAAAAGAGAACAGAAAAGAAAGAAAAATGAAAAGTAGCTGGCGAACCAGAGGAGATGTGGCTGGAGTGATGTACTGCACTTCCATCTTGCACTGAAATCTCCTCTTGCACCAGATACGTTTCCTCTTTGCGTCTGAAGATGGGTGACTGCACGCTAAACGTTGTCTCTGCTTTCCCTTCACAGGTGCGGCCAGACTTGTTGAGTATCTCCAGCAATTTCTGCTTAGTTTCAGATTCACAAAATGCACAGTTCTTTGCTTTACTTCAGCCTGACGTGGTATTATTTATCAAAAGTGTGAAACACTTTTTGTTGTTTTTTTTTGTGATTTCCGCCCCACCACCCCACCCCACCCAGAATCCACAACGTCATGAAAAGTTGGAATGGACAGAATATAGACTTACAGGCAGTGAAATGCACCAAGTCTGATAAAATGAATCAAATGCCATAAAAGTTCATTGAGAAAGACAAATGAGAAAGTAATTTTATATAACTGGCATTGATTGGAGCGTAACTGTCATTGGTTCTAAAAAGCAGCAAATCCTGTTGCTGAATAACTCCACTCAATTTCACAATAAGCTATGCCTGACTCCGAAATAGTTTAAAATATAGAAAGCGTTCTGGCTCTTTTTTTTAAAAATTATACTCTCATCGTAACATCATGTGCTCCCCATGTTTTTCCTCATATTGACGGTCTTCTTGCCTGGTGAGTTTGTGGTAACATAGTTAGTATATCATCCAGGAATTATACATTGTGGTACGTATCTTTGGGACCTTCTGTCTGAGAGCGCGTTGCATTTCTGTGACATGATGCGCACATTAGTGCAGAAACACATTCTTTCACCTCCGCGCCGTGAGAGTTCCAGTAGTATCCAGCAGAGTGTGCTCTCATACCAATAAACAGAAGCAATAATTTCACGTCCACAGAGACATTCTGCGAAAAATTACAGAATCCCTGCAGGGTGGATGCAGATCATTCAATCCATCGAGTCCTCACCAACCCTCTGAATAGTATCCCACTAACACGCACCCTGTCCCCGTGTTTTCCAGCCAAATCCAGATAGCCTGTACATCGCTGGACACTCTGGGAAATTTGGCATTCCCAATCCACCTAAACTACACAGCTTTGGACAGTGAGAAGAAACAGGATCACCCATAGGAAACCCTGAGAATGGCCAACTCCACGCACACAGTCATCCCGGGCTGAGTCGTACCCGCTTTCTCGCACTTTGAGGTAGCACTGTGTTACTGTACCACACAAAAGCTATAACAACCCATACATTCAACAAGGAAAATAGATCTTGACTGATGGAGTAATATTATTTTATTCCAACTCGTATGTTCACTGAAACCAACATTTGTAAATTTATTCATAGAATTGAAATCATATATTCCCTGCAGTGGTGAATCAGGTCATTCAGCACATCGCGTCCACACCACCTCTCCGATGAGCATCCCACCAAGAGACAATCCGTTCCCTGTCACGCTACATTTCCCACGTTTAGTCTACCTAGCCTCCATCCCTGGACATCTCAGGGCAATTTAGCATGACTAATCCAAATAACCTGTACATCTTTCAACTGTAGGAGGAAACCGGCACATCTGGCGGAAACCCACGCAGACAAGTGCTGAATATCTAAACTCCACACACAATTGATCACTGATTTTGTCTTTTGGAGCAATTTCTCTGCATGAGTATAATATTGGTAAACTTTTCCACATTTCCACTGTCAGTTTCCTGGAACGTTTTCCTGCAGTCTGTTTATCGGTTTTATTTGATCGGAGTGTATTGCTAATTCATCCACAGTGGATACATAATGAGCATAGTTCTCAAAGGATTGACACTGAACTTTAAAACAAGCCCGAAACATAGAGAGCCCAAACATCAACAATGGCATGTGTACTGTTCACAGGAAGAATCCTGGACAATCATTCCTAGCTCCCAACAAAAAGACCCCGATACATTGCGAGTGGACAATCTCCACTGGCTGTTTTCTCTTAAGGATGCCGTCTCCATTTTGGGCTTCAGATTCACAAATTCCGTCCAATCAAAAGCCATATGTCTCTGCAGAAAGTGACAAAAATCACTTTGTGTGTCTCTGGTGGGACGTCAATCAAAGCCAAATCCATCAACAATTCGGTCTGATTAGTCACTGTGTAGAATTTAACTGAGGATATTCTTCAGCATTGCACCTCTTCTTCTTTGAGTTACATATTTCTCATTGAAGAACAGACTGTCAGCTTTATTAAATACCAGCCAGTCGATATTTATCCGGTTATTTTTCTCCGAACACCAGAATGTGGGGTTAAAGTCAGAAGCATCGACTTTTGAGGCGAAAGTGACATCCAAACAATCATAAGCAGTGTTAGAAGCTGCTTGCTGTGAAGGAAGTGATGTCAGACCACTCAGCCAATCATGTCAGATTTTCTCTCTCTCTCTCTTCCTCCATACTTTGAAGATTTATATGACACAAAAAAATCCCCAGGAAAGTTAGCAGCAGCGATGCAGTTCTCCATTTTCACGGTGACCTTGGTTACTTTCATTGTCGGTAAGAAGTTTTACACTGAAGGAAAAGTTTCAATTTCTCTATCACTAAGTCTGAGCCAAACCGGTATTCTTTTTAATACGTCTTAGACGTTGGTTGCATTATACTGAACCTGCTTTGAACCGATTGACTCTATGTCTTGCAAGCAGAAGAAAGGATCACTAAGCGTAAAAAGAGTAATTAGAGTAATGATCCCAGTATTAAGAGACGATCACTGTCGAAACGTATGACCCACCCTGTGATGCTTCATAAGAGTCAGAATAACGATACAAAAGAAAACTTAAGGGAATCCTATTTTCGCTATGGAGCATGGAACTCACTGTCTCAAGGAGTGTTGGAATCAGACCATAACGTCGTGAAGGGGACGTCAGGTAAACAGATGATGAAGAGATGAAAAGATGGACATTCAGCTGAAATTCGAACACGGGGTAACGTGAATTCTCGTGTGGTTGCCAAAACGGATATTGATCAGTTTTTCTGAATTAGGTTTTATGTTCAAAAGAAAAATACAAAAATTGCTTGTAGAATTCCAAACGTCTGGTCGCAACATGGTCAGAAACAGAATGAAAACAAATGTTGGTCCGAAAAGGTATCTTCGGAACTGAGTTCGCTGGCAAACGGTGTTCCTTGTGTTGTTTTTTTTTTCATTTTCATGTTCATGTTCAAATTCATGTCGCAGCTGATGTGATTTTTGTTTCTAATTGCCAATTCGAAATTTCAACTGAACCTTTAGCCACTTATTCCTGCTTTCTCTAACATTGTCTTTCAGATCTGAGCGATGGAGTTTCTGTGACTCAGGGGGAGACCTCGCTCACGCAAACAGAGAGGGAAAGCGTCACTTTAACCTGCACGTACACCGGTGATGTTGATTACTTGTTCTGGTACCGCCAGTATCCTGGCAGAAAGCCCGAGTTCGCAGTCCGTAGGTACAAGAGCGGCGGTGCTGAATTCAAGGCGGATTTTGCTCAGAAGCGGTTTTCTGACACAATCCAGCAGTCAGACAAGTCATACCGATTGACCATCTCGGAGCTGCAGCTGTCTGACACCGCTGTCTATTACTGTGCAGTGAGACTCACAGTGATGGGAACGAGCGAACGTCTCGTACAATAACTGCTGCAGGTTTCTGGGTCACAGTTGCTGCCTGTTTAAGACAGCTTATAACTGGGTTTCACACACTGACAATTCTACACATTTATGTGCTGGAAAACGTCGAGAATAATCCACACAAACATTATATAAAATCGTTCAAATGAATTACTGATTCTGACGTTGGCAATGACTGCTGTTTGTTCAGGGATCTCTGCGATTTCGGAAGGACAGGAACATGGTAAGTGGTGGTAGATATCTATATTAGTTAATTATGCCAATAGCACAGGAGAGGGAATGATCTAATTTTTTTTTAAAAAAAACGATGATGTGGAGCACAATTCGGTAGAGAAATGGAATTATAAAGAGAAAAACGCGGGTGTTGTGTAGCATCTTTCCCCCACCTCTCCGCAGGAAGTAGGTGCAGCACAAAGTAAAAAAAAATACTGTTCACGTTTGAGAAATTCGAAATCATCACGCGCTATTTTAATCCACACTCATACTGTGTCAGACAGCCAAAGGTAGTCTAGATAAGAAGCTCATTTTTTTTTTCAGCATAGTTTCACAGAAAAAAAAAAATGTTGTGGAGTCAACCGTACAGAGGCTTCTGCAGACATGACAATTTGCAAGACTATAAGACTAAATAATGAACTCATAATGAAGACCCCCATGGGAACCATATGATGTTGGACATTACATTCAATTTCAGGGAGACATCCCTTTACCTTAAACCAAGGGTTTTGAGCTGTGTCACATGATTGACGGCTGTCTGCCAGGCTATACATGGAAATATCATTGTGGTGTTTTGGTCAGGGCCTTTGTAGCAGTCGGTGCTTCTCATGATATCAGTGTCAGAGTTCAGGGTCGTACCAGTTGTTATTTTGGTAATTTGTTGCGGTGCTATTAAACATGGAGGGAAAACCTTCTTGTAATTCCGAAATTCCTGTACCCATTCATTCCATCCAAATTGCATGGATGCGGATCATATCAGAACTAGTGTGTATAGTTGTGTTCAAGGTTTATTTTATCATGTCTTCAACATCCTATTCCATAGTCATACAAATAATTGGATGTTACAATATTTCCTACAGCTCATCAACAGTTAGAACTAGTTTTATTGAGATCAAAATAGTCATCTTTACCATGCTTTGAGATTTTGCATCAGCCATGGGGAGAATGGAGCTTTACAGGAAAGAAATGCCCATTGGGACGTGAGTAAGTGATGTGGTGGTGTTAAGAGATGGTTCTGTCGGATACTCCTTGTGTCTTTCATTCTTTAGAGCAGGAAACATTTAGTCGCAGCAGAATTACAGATTTCTGTTTCTTTTTCGTGCTGATAAAGATAATGGCAGAAATGGACCAGCAGCAGCAATCTCGAGAGTTGAAGAATTCAAAACAGTTTGCACACATTAAATGAGAACAGTGGGCTGGCCAACTGCAGTATCGAAAGAGAGAAGAAGGTGTGCGATGACTGTCGATTGCAGCCACAATTATGGAAAGGAAATAGTGACGCCTGGACCTCGAGAAGTCTCTCTACAATTTGCACTTTTGCGCTGTTAACTGCTGAAGGCCAACTGAAGAAGCAGTACTTGTGGAGAGGTGGTATCAAATGACTCGAGTAATGCACAATCAGCGAGCTCAGTAATCATTTAAATCATTATGACTGCACCTATTTGAAACACGTATTCCAAACGTTGTTCACTCCTGCATATTCTACAGCCCATTTATTTTTCAACTGATGACAGTTTCCTTTCGCGCTTTAGGATGGAATCCTTTCATATCTTACTTTGGACACCCTGTTTCAGACAGCACATGATCTGTGACCATCGCCTCTGCGCTGTCTGGGTGAACAGATTACCGTGAAGAATGAGTTCAACAGAGTCGGGTGCGGTTTCTTCTTTGCAACTCGTTCTCATTCCATTTTAGTTTACTGACAGAGATGTACTCCGAAAGATTTTTGGTCTTTCTTGTCTTTATTTTAAGAGAGTCTGTCATAGATTATGTTAATAAGGACACGTTTTAAATTAATTCTTCAACGTTCGATATTGTGTTTTATATAATTAACGAGGCATAATTTCCAAGAAAGGCCAGATCAGAAGACGACAGATTTCACGTAATTGCTCTTTTACAAATATATTTGGATGGGTATTGCTAACTAATTGATACTTTACTCCTCTGTACCCACAGTTGGACTATGTGCAGATCGATTAACACAGTTTCTCGAGATCACAGTTGTGGCTGAAGTGTGTCTGTGAATTTGGATTACAACAACAGCAACCTGGACACAAGCTACATGTATGATATCTGCAGAAACTGGTACTCTATCCAGTACAGAATTTTACCGAAGTAGTAACGTTAGAGGAAAAGGAAGCTTCAAGACGACGTATATTGTAGTTGCTGACAAATGTAATGAACTACAGTTATCTCAGTACAAGCATTCTGAGTGTGGAAGATATCGTAGTCTATTCCTGTGATGTGAGGCCCGGCATAGCTAAAAATTAAAACCCTGGCCAACAACCTCTCTGGATCACAACACCTCAAAAATATTTTGCATGTGTATTCGGAATTGACTGATATTAAATAATAATCCAGAACAGGAACGGGCTTCACTGACTGGCAGATGGCGACATTAATTCTGTGCTCAGTTCGATAATATTCCGAACGTTCACGTGTTTGTACAAGCTACAAACGGTCCGACAGCACCTTGCTTTAAATTGCAAAGTCGCTATGAATCGACGACACACTGTCTAAGTACACATTTGCAACGTGACAATGCCCTATTCTCGACTGTAGCCGACTGTAAGAGAGTCGACTTTACAACAACTTCTCTGCTGAAATGAACAGTCCCACAGTTCTTCCCTGATCACTGGTACTGATAACTGGGCGTATACCCATTGCAACATTTTCCACACAACCTTTTCAGAGACATTGTCACGCACCCTTAGAGGAGGTAAGACTTGAATGCATTCTCCCTGCATCCGGGTCAGAGATGTTGCCAAAGCGCGATAATATCACTGTCACTGGGCCTTGTATTAATGAATTAGAGTACATCTAACTGCTCTGGTGGAAAAGCTCAAAAGTGTGTTTTAACCATACGGGTAGCAATCACTGACTTAGGATAATGGGAGTTCTCTGCAATACTAGCAGCATCCGCCAAGATTATCTAGAGCAAGAGTGCAATAAAATGCATTCTTCCATATGGCAGATATACTCCGACATTGACAGCTCCAAATTCTCGAAGGAAATCCGTTTCAATGGCATCACGTTACTGTTGTGAAAAAAAAAAAACAACAACATACGATCCGCTCTGAAATAGTAATGTGGATGCTTTCCTTCTTCCATGAAAGAGGACAGGCACAATGAAATCAAATTTCAAGTTCAGTTTCAATTTCAACTGCAGGAGATTCCAGATTTTAATTTCATTGTATTTCTCACAGTCCTTTGGTGACGTGTTGAATCGTAGAATATGGAAGAATTTACCTGATTGGATGTTGTTTTTTGTCTCTGTCCAGAACGTACTGCCAACAATTGTGTGCCTTCTGCCCCAATGGTGATGACTTTTGTTTTCACAATAAGCAACACAACCCTTTAGGTAAATGAAAGCATACGTCCAGTGAACATTAAAATAAAATGTCCCAGCCCAATCCTGGAATACTGGCTTCAATTGTTTAATTTAAAGACACTCATTTACCTACTGACAATCTGTAGATGACCCTCTTCACTACAGCAGGTGCAGGTGAAGATCTAATCCCATGGGAAAGCACGCAAAATTCATTATAACATTTTGAATGAATCATATGATGCACCGTCCTGTTTCATCGGTGCATAATGTGACAACGGTTTCATTTTTTCTCCAAAACATATGTTTAATCAAGACATTTGTAAATGTGTGTGGCAAAACATTTCGACTTGAAAGATACAGAGTGTAATAATATTCAACTTGTCTTTAAACAGCATGTTCTACTCATCGGGCACACTTTACAATTACATCTTACCTATTTGATTCTATTTGATGATGATTACTCGATGGCTGACGCAAAGAATTGTTTATTTGAAATGTGAGACTTGCATTCATTCAACATTTCACACAAGTGTTGAAGAAAAATTTAATTCACCATCTAGGAGCCGACGTTAAGGCCGAAGTCTGTGAGCTGGTTGTCTGTGATGTTTGTTCCAATGCATTCTCTCACAATGCAGTCAGAGAAGTGTGGCAATTCATTTATTTTTGCTACTAAATCTGCCATTTCCGTTAATGGGAAGCCGATATTTCAGAAATAACGTGCATAACCACAAGTTTTACATTATTACGTTGTTAGATGTTCACCAGTGAAATGAAATTTCCATGGCTAGGGATAAAGGGCACTGTCTGGAGGGATGGAAAGGGAAAATATTGGAGTAGACAATGGTGAAAAAAGGATTATATATGTTTGAAAAATGAACTAATTTTCTCTCTTTAAGTGGGTGAATGTTCCTCCACTGCTGAACTGTTCTTTCAAGTGTGAAAGCGCCTTCTGGTGTGCTGTAACTGACACTGTCAGACTGAGTTTTTTGTAAGGGCTGTGCCATAACTGCATCAGCGTGGGCTGCATAGCACAAAAGTACATGGCGCAGTCAGAGAAGATGGCCTTGTTGATTTTTAATTCAGTAATCTTCGTGGATTTTGTAAATGTGAAAGAGAATCTGTCCGACAAATCAGGATTCCTGTTTACAATCTCTGCTGCAATCATATAAACCATGTACTGTGGAGGCTGCCCTGGAAGCTAAATGTACCAGTAAACGTAAGGGTTGGAAACACTTGTTTTCAAGCTGCAGGTTAGTGTGATATTGCCTCCCTCCTTAACCATCATTTCAGGATCTGGCTGCTCCACCGTGTTTTCTTGACTCCATTCTATTAAAAAAAAAGCAAACTTCAAAATCACGACATTACCATCGTCGCTTTACTAATCATAACATATGGGTTGCAAACAGCTGTGTCTGGGGAAAATGGAATGTCACTGGGAAATAAACACTTACTGAAGATTGTG